AGATAAATAGTTATTTATTTTTCATTTAGTAAATAAACCACAAAATGGAGAATGACGTTTTATGATAAAGTCACTTTGAGGAATATCACTTTTACTGGATTCTATTTAGGAGAATCTAAGTAAAAATAAAGGGGCTAACAGTGATTGCAAAACTCACTGCCCTAAATTAGAACATCTATGTCTTAATACGGGTGAAAAGTTGTCAGGGATGTAGGAATGAGTCAATACAGTCACATTTTGACTGATGGAGCTGGGAAAATTACATGTTTAAACTTTCTTTTTAACAACCATATCAACTGAAGCTAAATGTTTGTGGGGACAGCTGGAGACAGAACTAGTCCTACTTAAATGTTTCAGACTGTTTTTGAAAAAACGTTTAGAGTTTCGATGTAAACCTTTTTTAAACTGCCAAAGCCTGTTTGAAATATTACACCCAGTATTCCCAGCTGGTGTTTTGTCTAAAAGCAGGGCACCAACACATTGTTTCGTTTCCGGTGTTGCATTAGCTTTTCTCACGATGATAGAGAGCATATTTTGCTTCAGGGATTTAAAGCACAGGCTGTTTCTGCTGCTTTTTGGAGTCTTGTGTGTGAGTTAGTAACCCTTCCTTTAAATCAACTAAATATTATTGGGAGCTTTTAAGTTAAAATAAATGTACTCATGTGGCTAATTTGGGTCCAAACTACCCGTGTGAAACAAACGAGTGAAAGATGTCCCAGTTTCCACATCCCAGCTAAGCAGCTTTTGGTTTAGAATATCTTAAATCATGATTTTATCACTTAATTTTAACAGTTTTATCAAAGAAAAGTTACTCAAGCAAAGCCTCGATATCTCTTTTTTTACATATAGCTCAGAAGTTTGTTTCAGTTTTCCTGAAGTTAATTAATTACAAAAGTAAATCCATGTCTGACATTGTGAGATTCTGTGAGAAATCAACATAACTAGATAGTAATAATGTTTACTTGATACTTCTGTGTTTTACTCAACCTTAAAATTATACAAAGGAAAGAAGGAATAAATTAGTCCCTACACTCAAAGAAAATTTTCTTACCATTCAAGATACCTAAAGTAACTGGTTCCAGAATTATTTTGTAATATTTAATTTATGTAACACAATATGTATGAACATTTTATGTATGATGCTAAGTAACCTAAAATTCTTGAGCTCACCATAAGGCCGTCTTGTGAGCTTACATATATAGTCTTCCAAGTGAACTCAAGAATTTTAGGTTACTTTGCAATGATCATGAAAATTGGTCCTTGCTAAAATTACTTCCTTTATTTGTAAATTAATTAACTATTTTTGCCAGGGAAGGAGCCAGTTATCTTGATGTGATCCATGATCACAGGCAGCTCTAGAATTTAGTTTGACCATGTGACATACATGAAAGTTTGTTAACAAAAACTGTTTGTGCTCTTAAAATAAATGCAATTAAGTTAATAAATCCAATTCATTTGTTATTGAGTTATCTGTCAGGGAACTCTGTTTACGTTTATTTTTGGTTTCTTTGTTGTTCTGTGTTTTCCTGTCATTTCTTTAGTTGCTCTCTGTTGCCCCCTTGTGCCTATTCCTTCCCCTTGGCTCCCTCCTAGTTAGTCCTATTCACACCTGCTCCATATTAGCTTGTTAGCCCGTCCTTTGTTCTGTTTCCTTTATATACACCACAGTTCATGTTTGCTGGTTTGTTGTTATTTTGTTGCTTCTCTTGCCCCACACGTGTGTTTTGCTTGACATTTATTGGATTTTGTTTGGTTTTCATTATTTTGGATTTTTGCCTCTGTTACCTTGGACTTTCAATTAAATCAGCAAAATCATGTCTGCCTACTAGTGATGGGTTAATGAGGCATCTTGAAGCGTTTTGACACATTGCCAAACTCTATTGATACTGCGTTGATGCTGTCTCACAGAATAGTGATATCTGCTGGACCTTTAAATACACTACAGGCAGCTTATATGACAGAATAAACTAAATTGATTTGATTACCAAGAACAATGACATAGTGGAAATTATTGTAGGTTATATTGTAATATCTCATATCTATGTTAAAAATGAAAAAAAAAAAAATCTTGGATATTTTTAGATGCAGCCATTAAATTATGTGAGCATATATCATAACATAAGAATTTAGGGGAAAATGTTAATGAGCATGACTGTGTACTAGGATTCTAAATCATATTTTTAAAAGTTTAAGTACAGGAAAACGCTAAATAAACTAAGAGTCACTTTGAAATTAACTTTAATTCAGATAAGTTGAGACATAACTGAGAGGAAGAGTATGACACAACGAGGAAATTAAAATCAAAACACAACAGAAAAAGATGAACATAACTTAAATAAATGCGGGGAAAAATATAGGTCAACAGAAACCCAAACCAATCAAACATATTTAAATTTGGTGTATGTAATAATTTCCTTAAAAAAACAAGAAAAAAAAAAACGTGTTGAATAGACTCAATAAATTCCCACCATTCAGATAAATCTGGAATTGGTTCAGGTAACAAGAATGAATTGGATGGAAAAAATGCCACTAATTAATTTGAGTTAATCCAATGAATTATTTTTATGAGTGTATTCAAAAACCTCCTCTCATTCAGAGAATTAAGCATTTTCCAGTTCCTGGTTACTAAAAGCGTCTAAAAACCAGGCGTCATTAAGTGAGGTGAAAACACACTATAATGTTTTCTTTGCCACAGCTATGAACTGTAATGAGTAGACACAGTGGAGACAGGATATTAATTAAAAAACGTATCCTATTATTGATACATTCATTAAGGGTTTTATATGAAAAGGTTATAAAAACTATTCTTTAAATATCCAACCCTTTATTCACAGCAGTGCACACACGGCTTTAGATGCCACCAGACAGCATGATGGAGAGTAATGCTCAGAGAAAAAGAAGAAGCCATGAAGAAGCTGTTATAAAACAAGAAAATAACAGCTGAAGCACTAAATGAAAAAAAAAAGAAATCCTTGCTGAGCCCTCTCTAATAGTTCTTTAAAAGAAGGCCAACAAGAAGAAAAACTAACTAAAAAGTATTCTTTAATAAAGATTTACATGGGTGGGAAAAAATAACTAAAGCTTTTTTATAAAAAAAAAAAATAGAAATTTAAAGGCTTTTGTGTAAAGCCTCAGAAAATCTGATGTTCTTGTTTTCTATTACGTCACAAGAGGGCAGAAAAATACAATATTTCATGAATGCCCTCCAAGTCAATGCCGGAATGCTCCAGCGTTGATTACATTTTTGGTCATAACAAAGAAAGGATGTTTGTTTTCAACCCTCCATAGTGCTGCAGCTCTCACTGCATGAAAAGTGGGACTTTCTTCAATATGCGGCACTGTAGATTGTCGTGGAACTTCAGGTTAGCTGCAGTTTACGGCAATTTGCAGGCTTCGCCGAAAACTCCCGTAAATTGTCAGAAATTGACGTGGACTTTCTTAGGCAGTGTTCCCCCCATGCCTCCCCCCCATGGAATTCTAGGGGAGGCTTTAACATGTAAATGAACATGCTGTGAGCTATACAAATGCAAATCAGGGTTGCAGGGGGGGGGGTTTACTCAAAGTGACATTTTTCTAAAAGGTAAGAAAATCTCTGATACAAAGAGATCAGGCTCAGTATAGACTCTTACATTTTAGCTTGAATTGATTTATTTAATTAAAGTATAGAGACCAAAACAGATCTTTAGCTGACAGAGCAATACATTTAGAGCAGTAATTATTATTTTTTTTAATTTGCATTTAAGATAAAAAATAAAATGTTGTCTGTCAATATGCTCAATTCACAATTACTTAAGTGGAAAAGGTTCAAGAAATGAGTCTGAGATGATTCACTTTATAACATGGCGCATTATCCTGTTGGAAGTAGCCATCAGGAGATTGGTACACTGTGGTCATAAGGTCCGGCCAGGTCAAGATCCGCAATTGCAATCGCACCAAACAGGAAAAAGAACATCGACAAATTCCGGTTCGTCAAATTAAAATATAGCAGCAACAGATCGGTGACTAGAAATTATAGCACAATTCTTATATAAAAAAAAAAAATCTAACACCGTTTATTTAAATGATTGGATCCAAACTATTGGTTATTCACCAACGAGGAAGCAGATTTCTCATCTCCATCAAAATATTTATTTAATACCGAGGGACTTAAACTTTAATCAAATCCATTCAAAAGAAACTTCTTATTACAGGAATGAAAAGAGATGCTGAGTTTGGGAGTATAGAACAAGTTCATTCAAAAAAAGCAGTTTTGAATTATCCTTATCCCCGTTACAAAAATCTACAAATATATATATATATATATATATATATATATATATATATATATATATATATATATATATATATATATATATATATATATATATATATATATATATATATATATATATTTGGGCAGAAACTGAACATATGCTGGATGATGGTGGGATTTTTTTAATATGTCATATTAAATTAAGCGCTAACAGGGTTCATACAGGAATGAGTGACTCTAATTTAATGCTATTTTAATGCTATTAGAAATGATTTTAATGCCATCAACAAGAACCATGTACACAAGTTATTAGTGTACATGAAATATGAAGGAGCTGTAAGCACAGTTCCATGACTCCTGTATGTATGTAAACACACACACACACATATATATGTATATATATATCCTCTAGCTTTTTCTCCGCCAGCAGCGATATAATATATCTGACGAAATTGTTTTTATAAGCATTTTTTATTAAAGAATTATAAATACTTCGATAAACATATTTAAATAATTTTAGTGCCAATTAAGGCCTTGATTTAAAAAAAAAATGAATGAATTTTTAATTATTTTTATTGATCCACGGAAACCCTGGTTTACCTCACGCATGCTCTCTAAAGCGGAGGATGTATGCAATATGCTTTTCAAATAAAAAACAAAATCCTACTTTAAACATCAAAATGTACGGTTACCTGCTGGAACAAGTGAAAATAGTGAGATATTTAGGTGTGTGGATGGACTATAAATTAAGTTTTGGAGTTCATATTCAGAAATTAATAGAAAAATGCAAAAAAAGAATAAATGTGTTAAGATGCTTGTCAGGAGCTGATTGGGGAGCAAGCTGTCAGTCTTTGAAGATAATTTATTATGCAGTGATTAGGTCAAACATAGATTATGGTAGTATAGTTTATAGCTCTGCGAATAAAACCTTACTTAATAAGATAGAAGTTATACAAAATCAGGCTTTACGTATTTGTTGTGGAGCATTTAGATCATCTCCAGTAGTATCATTACTAGTTGAATTGGGAGAAATGCAACTTGAACAACGAAGGACTCAACTGAGAATGAGATATTGGGCTAGTGTAAAAGGACATAAAGAAAATCATCCGGTCAGACTTCTTCTGAAAGATTGTTGGGAATATGAATATAACGAAATAAAAAGCTTTGGATGGGTAGTAAAGAAAGAGGCAAGCAGTTTGAATTTGAAAGATTATGTAATAACCCCAACTGTTCCAATACCGGCAATTCCCCCTTGGATGTTTTCTACACCAGTGATCGATTTACAAATACAAAAAATAATGAATAATTGGGGGAAAAATACACCAACTGATATCATAGTACAACAACATTTAAGTAAAGAATATTATTCAGTTCTACAGGTATATACAGATGGGTCTAAGGAGCCAGAGTCTGGAAGAACAGCAGCAGCAGTATACATTCCGACATTCAAAATAAAAATTGCAAAAAGAATATCTAATCATGTGTCAGTATTTACAACTGAAGTATTAGCTATCATATTAGCACTACAGTGGATCGAAGAAGTTCAACCACTAAGAACTGTAATATGTACCGACTCAATGGCTACGCTAAATAGTCTTCTAAGTGGAAAATCTGAAACTAGGCAAGATTTAATATTTGAAGTATTGCAAAGTCTATTTAGAATAAGGCAGTTAAAAATACTGGTATACTTTCTCTGGGTGCCAGCACATGTGGGTGTAGATTAAGGTGACCAGATTTCTGAAATCAAATCTGGGGACATTTCTTGCTCGTGGATAAAAATCAATACATCTTATCGAGATGAAATTAGGAAACGGGGACAGTAATGGTTTCATATATTTTTACATAATTATTAATATTTAAACAACAAAAATCAAGTGTAAAAGCCAGGAATGTGCCTTTCCAAACGTTTAGTGTGTCCTAAGATTAATAACATGAATAGTGTTATTAGTAGAAAACTAGAACTGTGTCTCTGGGTTGGGGCAAAGTGGTGGGGGTGGAAGCGGAGGGGTCAAGGGTCATTAGCAGGGCTTTCCAATTTTGTCGGGCCCAAAGAGCTCTGCCGCCTCCTAAGGGGAGAGTGACATGAGGAAAAGAAATTTAGAAAAGTAAATACAAACATTTATTCTATGCCTGTGGCTGTCTGTTGTTTACAGAGTTCCCCCACCTCTTCAAAAAAGTGCAACAAATACTTATTCTGTTTACATCTACTGTACATACCTATAAGAAATATTTTTTTTCTTCATTAACATAAAAAAAACAAGTAGTAGTCAAGCCTGCAGGTAAAGGTTCATATATGTTTCTTACTGTCACCTAGCCACATCAGGGGCCTGTGTGTCTCAAAGTAGCAGGTTCATTTTTCCTACTAACCTGAGTATACAGCCACTCTGTGTTCCACAGCATACTTTGCACACTACATCACTCAATAAGTTAGTTTATCACTCAAATCATGTCAACGCTTTATCACTTGAACTTTATTAATACATATTATACATTTTAAATGTTTGAAACAGAAATATTAACTGAACAGGGTCTGAGGCAGTGGCCCTGGTAATTTGGGTAAAATAATATAAGAGAAGACATAGCAAGTAAAAAGCAAAATAACCTTTTTAAATATCTTAAACAAGTTTAACCATTGAACAGCAGAATAGGCTTAACATCAACACAATGTATATAATCCAAGAATAGTCCATATTTATAAACAGCAATAACATATACATATATAATTTCCCAATGGAAATTCTGACTGTAATTTCTCCTTAAAATGACACTTCCTCTTCTTTGAAAGAGCCATCTGGTCATTCAGTCTTGTCTGTTTTCTTCCCTCTCCACCTTCGCTTTTGTTTCTAGCCCTCTTCTGACTTCTGCCTGCTATCTGCTTTACTCCTCAAAGTAAATTTTTCTCCCTTCTTGTCAACCGTTTTTTCTATCAGAGTTCCTAGTTTCCTCCTCTCTCATTCAATCTCCTTTCTGTCTTTCTATCTTCTTCCTCACTCCTCCAGCATCAATCTTACATTATTCTAAAACAGAGACATTATATAATCAAAATCACCTCCAAAAAAAATTAGGATGTGCAACATGAAAACTTATTATTATTAATATCTCATCTAAATACTAAAAATGCTAATTACCACAATATTAGGAGCTACAAGCAAAAACCACATAATAAATGAACATTAAACAGGTGGTTATCTCTTCCTCCATCATTCTCAGATCATGTAGATCTTGTCTTATTCAGTTCTCCTGTTACTGACTCCTATTTTTTCACAAGGAACTTTCATATATATCCAAACTGAGCAGTAAAAAAGCACACCAAAAACTGGAAGTCTATGCTCATAAATCACAACCATAAATCATCAAAACAAATTGAAATAACTCTACTTATAATAACTATCTGAAATATAAACTAAAGGTCACCTATCCATTCTAAAACATCTTTATACAAACCCTTGTTGATCCCTGGAGAACCAGCGTACCAGATAAGCGCCTTACAAGGAGTTTTCAATCATTTTGCTACATTTTAACCCAGCGTCTTTTTACTCATGCTCAACTCGTGGTCTTGTCTTACTTTTTATTATTGTTTTAACCTGGACACAAACCAAACATTCATCACAAGATCAGCCCGATCAGAATAAAATAAATTGATTAACACACTTACCATCACTCAGCATAGCTCCCCATCAGTTGCCACAGGTTGTAAAAAACGAACTTCCACTTCTTCTTCTTCTTCTGTTTTAAAAGTGATGCGCTCTTCTTCTTTTTTGTGTTTTAATGGCAGCTGACATCCAAAAGGATCATTACCGCCCTTCTAGTGGTGCGCTCTGTTCCTTATCTTTATGTTATCAGCAGCGCAACCAGCTACCGTAATACCTATTTTTGCGCGCAACAGCTCTACCGTAATAACAGTCTACACGCAACATTTTTCGCCTCGGTAAAATCGGGGACATTTCCGGGGACAGCTTTAGCCGGGGACAGGTGGTCCAAAACGGGGACAGTCCCCGGAAATCGGGGACGTCTGGTCACCCTAGTGTAGATGGAAATGAGAAAGCGGACAAGCTAGCAAAGAAAGCATTAAATCATCAGCAAATAGAAATGAATGTATTTTTAAGTAAATCAGAAATGAAAACATTGATTACAATTGAAACTCGAAAGAAATGGCAAACGATATGGAATAATGAGTCAAAAGGAAGACATTTGTATCAGATTCAAAAGTTTATTGGAAAGGAGAGGAAAAGATATGGAAATAGGAAAAAAGATATAATTATTTCAAGGCTAAGAATAGGTCACACAGCATTAAACTACAGTCTTTTTAAAATAGGGAAACATGAAACAGGACATTGTGACAAATGCGGAGATCCAGAAACAGTACAACATATTATTTTTGAGTGTACTGCGTATGTAAGGGAGAGAATGAAGTTCATACAAGAGTTGAGAAAAATAGGGATTAATGGGAATTTAATAAAAGCACTGTTAGGAAACGAGATAAGACAAACAAGAGTTAATGAAATATTATTCAAATATCTAAAAGATACAGGAACAATTAATAGGATTTAGTTATAGGATTCTTTTTTTTTTTTTTTTCGGTATACCGCAGTCTTCCAAAACTGTGCACTCCACACTCCAGATCAGTAGGTGGCGGAAAGGCACCTTTTACGTTGGCCTGCCAATCCGCCAAACAACAGAAGAAGAAGAATGTATGCTTTGCTTTGTGCAGGCGGTCTGGAGCGGAGTATGTGGGATTTCGGGGTAAAACTCCTCTTGGACGCGATGGCGACTCTGCATCGAACAAGACGAACTCAAAGAAGAGAAGCTAGCGGTAAATATATGTTCGAATACTGCCTGCTAAGCTAAAAGCAGCCTAGCCTAAGCTAGGGCTAATAGCAGCCTAGCCTAAAGCTACGGCTAATAGCAGCCTAGCCTAAAGCTACGGCTAATAACAGCCTAGCATAAAGCTACGGCTAATAGTAGCCTTGCAAGAACAAGCTTTATTAAAGTGCATTTTTTGTGATTCACAGGAAGCAGTACGCCGTCATCACAACTCGGAGACTAATTGCAGGCGCTATGAACCGGAGCAAGGGTAAGATTTAAAGAATATGCTTTCATTCTGCGGTAAAAGGCAATGGATACGGATGGATACTGATCATAGCTGTACATTTTGTTTTCACAGAATACTGTCGCCTCACAATGAGGCTGTGCTCGGAGCCATATCAGCGAGTCCAGATTTGCACGATGTTGATAAAGACGACATTGTGTGTAAGTGACTTGTTTTAATGTTTTCTCCTTCCTTGTTACTGTGACTTGCGTTTGATTTTTTTATTCATATCACTCTCATTTAATTGTTTTCCAGCTGCCTGTAAGACGTATTTTGAGACGGTACGCAGGAGCTTCAGATATACAGTAAATAAATCAATTCAAGCTAAAATGTAAGAGGCTATACTGAGCCTGATCTCTTTGTATCAGAGATTTTCTTACCTTTTAGAAAAATGTCACTTGGAGTAAAACCCCCCCTGCAACCCTGATTTGCATTTGTATAGCTCACAGCATGTTCATTTACATGTTAAAGCCTCCCCTAGAATTCCATGGGGGGGAGGCATGGGGGGAACACTGCCTAAGAAAGTCCACGTCAATTTCTGACAATTTACGGGAGTTTTCGGCGAAGCCTGCAAATTGCCGTAAACTGCTGCTAACCTGAAGTTCCACGACAATCTACAGTGCCGCATATTGACGAAAATCCCACTTTTCATGCAGTGCCATTTAAGGCTTTATATGTGAGAAGGAGGATTTTCAATTCTATTCTTGATTTAACAGGAAGCCAATGAAGAGAAGCCAGGATAGGCG